ATTATATGTATAATACGTACATTTGATGTATATCAGTGGTATATCTGATAATGTATATCATGAGTACATCTGATACTGTATATTAGGGGTACATCGAATGTATATCGGAAGTATATCAAAGTTACCTCGGATGTACATTAGATATAGATTAGATGTATATCATATACAAATTTACATCGAATGTATATCATATATAGATTTGATGTATGATATACATTATATGTATATCAGATATAGATATACATCAGACATATATCAAAAATCATAAGGGTAAAATTGGTATAACAAAAATTCCGAAAATAAAAATTCAAATATTTTGCTATATTTGAAATTTTAAAAAGCTGATGACATTTTTTGAAATACATCAAATATTTTGCTACCCATTACAATTACCCTACATTTAATTGCTATTCCACGCATAATTCACATTCACATTTTCTTTTAACTTTTTTTTTATGTCAATCATGCAGTATATTACTATTTTAAAATGAAGATTAATTCAGATGTTAGTATCAACTATCAACATAGAAAAAGTGCTTCGAAAAAAGGTATGAAGCTATACATTTATATATACTTAAACTTTAATTATCTATGATGTTTTTTTTATTATTTTCTCGCTTTCATTATTTTAAAAATTAATGTCAAATATTTAATAGTTAAGCATTAATAAAAGGTATATTCATTCAAATATGAAATTACCATAAAAAATTATATTCTAAAAATTTTAACCCACATGCAATGCACGTGAATCTAACTAGTATCATAAAAAGGTTTTACTTTTACCTTTCACCATTAATTTTATTCAAAATATGTCAGTTGAATAACTTTACTTTTAAAATGAGTGATGAGAATGTGTGTAGTTGTTAAGTGGTACAAAGAATGAACAGTAAACATGGAAGTACTGTAATGGTAAGCAGTCGCTTATGCGGTGGAGAAAGGGGTTAAAAAAGAACCACAAATGTAGCTAAAAAAGTGATTCAACTTATGGGATAGGAATTTGAACCTCTGACCTTTTACTCGATCATAAACTATGCTCAAGTTAGTTAATTGTCACATTTTCCATTCAATTTTTAAAGGTACACAACATAGCAACTTGGTCAATTTCTATCATTTGTTGTAATGTTGTAGGGACATATTTGAATCGATTTCAAATATTAAACATAAAGACGTAATTGACACTAACCTCAAGCTTTATAATTTATCCATTAAACTGAAAATAAATGTTCAAAGAAGGCCAACATGGTCTTTTTCAATAGTATTTTTCCACCAAAAACACTAGAAGACAACATGGGGCAGTTGATTGACCTTGATGTGAGGTCTCTTTTTAAGTGAGCTGGCTACCAACACTGTCTAAAGTGAGCTGGCTACCTACGGGATTATTTCGTTGTATCAGTTTACCCTTTTTATTTCAAATTTTTTTTTCTCCTTCAGAAATTATTTGTTTACCTTGTTATAATACGACAACTGGGGGAGGTACAATTTCCTCACCCACCTATTTTTCATTGCAACTCTTCAATATAGAGAGTGTTGAGGATGTCTCTGTGATGCTTTCTTGATCTTCTCCCAAAACTTACATCCTTCTAACGCCGAAAATGGCTTCTATTCTTACCGGAACCCTTGAGAAATCTCAGGGGGTTGTTCAAATGAATCAATTCAATGAGCTTACTGGCGAAAATGCCCTCGACTAAATCAATAATTTATGTGGGAAACTTGTATATATTTAATTCATGCCAAAAGTCCTCGATTAAATCAATAATCTCTCCTCAAATAGGACGAATATAGTGTGGGAATCATGAAGTTTTTTTTAATAGAAATTGAAAACTACTTAAAGAAATTTTGAAACTTTGATATATTTATTTAATTCAGGCCAAAAGGTGTTGACAAGTTTTTGTACATTTATAAATAGATGTTGTAAAATTTTGAGGTTAGTTTTAAATTGAACTATTCCCTTGTCCTTAAAAAATTTAAATTTAAATGTTGTAGTCTTTTGAGTACATGTTTGTGATCTCCTTTCGAAGTCCGAGCTTCACCCGAGATGAAAATGGCTTCCATTCTTGCCGGAAGCCAAGAATCAAAAAGTAATAATAACAAAAAGTAGTCTAGTTATTAACATTTTGGGAAAAATATACGTGAGGTTTGGGTTTGGTATCAATTTGGTCGATGAAGTTTCAAAATAAATTTGTAAGATTTGAATAGGTGTCAATTTGGTCTTTTAAGTTTCAAAATAAACACTTTTTATCCCTAAAGTTTAATAATTTGTTCTAAATAACCCCTAAGTATTCTTTGACCGTTAGTTGACTTAACGGAAAAATGACGTGACAATTAATAGATGACTGGACATTTATAAATTGTTTTTTTAATGATTTGTAAAAAGTATCAACTTTTAAATAATTTTGTTTTGTGGGTGTCAAGTTTTTAATTTTTTTTTTTGGGTCTCTTCGTCTTATTGCCACCATCACTGCTGCTCCACCGGCCGTTGTTCCTACCCACGGGAGAAAGGAAAGCTCCTCCCTCTCTTCCCCATTCCAGATCTAGAACGTGGAGCCTCTCCCTCCCTCATTCATTCCAGATCTGGAATGGGAGAGAGAGGGAGAGCTCCTCCCTCTCCTCGGTGGACAGCAACTGCGAGCGATGGTGGATGGTAGAAGAAGATGAATACATCGAAAGAAGAGAGAAGGGGATAAAAAATAATAAAAATTGTTCGACGAGAAATTCAATGAAGAGAAAACTTGAATTAATAAATTTGTATTTGTATTTATGTATGTGGGTGTTACAATTTCTAATTGTGATCCTCTGATTAATTCTCTCAGATGTGAACTTTAATTCAATGGCTTGTGAGCTTGTTTTCGAATCAATGAGTCTGCGCCTTCAACTTCTAGTGTATTGAAGAATTTTTAAAGTCTTCGGCTGTGAAGCTTGATGCTCGACGAAGTTTGTGACTTGATGAAGTCTTCGGCTTGCTTGATGAAGTACTTTAGTTCGTGAGTTATTCGGCTTGTAGCTTGTGAAGTTCTTCAGTCCGTTGCTTGGCAAAGAGAAGATTTAGAATTTTTTAAGTCTCGTAGTCTTCAAGTCTTTCACTTCAGTTCTTCGAGTCTTCTTGGTTTTGGATGCTTCGCACCCTGAATGATTGTAGGTGACTCTGAATGCTCTAGATCTCCAATGCTTCTAGATCTTTTTGAATCCCCCAAATGAGAGGTGACCCCCTCTATTTATAGAGTTTGGTGGGTCTTGTATGGGTCGTGGGCTTTAATAGGCCGGGGCTTACGCCCAATCTTTTATGGGTTTTGATCCAATTAGTTGATTTCATCGGACAGTCATAAGAGAGACACGCGACATGATTAGATTCGTTGATTTTAAAATTAATTTAGGACACTTGTAATTTTATCATTGGTCCTAAATTTAATTTTAATTTTGTGACGTGACATTTAGTAATTAGTCAAGATTTCTCGTTCAACAAAAATTAATATATTTTTTACAACTCATTAGAAAAAGCAAATTTAAAAAATTTAGTCATTGCCACGTCATTTTTTCGTTAATTCAACTAACGGTCAAAGAATGCTTAGGGACCATTTAGAATAATTTTTCAAACTTTAGAGATCAAAAGTGTTTATTTTGAAACTTAAGGACCAAATTGTGACCCACTCCAAATCTTAGGGACCAATAGTGTTTATTTTGAAAAACCAAATTGACATCTATCCCAAACCTTACGGACCAAAAATATATTTTTCTCTAAAATTGTTTTAGTAAACAAAATATAATTGGTAGAAATTTAATTTTAAATTATTGAAAATGAGTAAAATTGATGGCTAAATTCTTTTTTTTTTTTTGGTAGTTGTTTTATAAAAAACAATAGGTGTTTGGGGGAGTAGCCCTTCTGAAGGGCATACTTTGATACATGTCCTCACTCTCAAATTTTATGTTATTTAATTATTTGCTTACATCACTTTTGTGTGAAATTACATATTTGTCCTCTGTATTTTTTTTTTTCGAATTTCTCTCATTTCTCTTCCTTTTTGGTTTTGTCTCTTCTCTCCCTCATTTCCTCTATCTTATTCATTCTGTTCCGTTTGAGTCTCCCTCTCCTTTCATCCTCAAATTTTTATCTCTTCTCTGCACTTCTTCTTCCTCCCTCCATTTTTTTTTCACTATTAGATTTCTCTTTCTCAATATATTACAATTTGAGACCTTTTTTTTTCACTAGATTTTATTTTTTATTTTCCGTGGTTTTTATATTTTTCTATTTGTACTAGATTTTGAAGGCATGCACTCCTTTCTCTCTCCATGATTCTTTAGAATAAGAGCTCTCCAAACAAGCTTGGGTGCTGCGCAGTTCTTCCCCATTCGCTGTCATCTCACCTTCGAACTCCTCAACCTTCGAGCCAAGGGACGATGCCTTCTTCGTCGCCTTCAACAGCTTCACCCTAGCATCCCTAAGCTCGACCTTGGAGTGATCCCTCTCCTCCATGGTCCAAGCGTATGCCACAGTCTCCTTCTCTGCCACCGATCGCGACCCAAGAGCTCGGCGGCAACGAACGTCATAGACGTGCACATGAGGGCGTGCGCTTG